TCATAAAGTTAGCTAGTTAGTTGAGTTAGTTTAACTTAACTAGTTAGTTGAGTTGACCTCCTGACATCTTCCAGCAGTGACGTCACGGTGCGGCAAGCCGAAGGCCATTGTCCCGTCTTTACATGCAAAATCAATTTGAACTTCAAGACAGAACTGCAATCAAGAACAATTGTTTAAATGATTTCAAGAGGACTTCACCACTGAAATTCGCAAGACTGAAAAAAAAAAGTTGTTTTGTCACCTTTTCCGATTCATGATCCACCACGGACGGGTTTGTTGTTGGATTGCCAACTTGAAGAGGGAGGATTTGCCATCGAACTTCTGGCCAGAAAAAAACCTGTAATATTTAGCCAATGTTTTGAAGAAGAATGTTTTCAAGGTGACTTGGATAATAGCGCATTGTGACAAATACCAGATAGAGCGATGAAGTTTACTTGCTCAACAGCCGATACCACTCCTTGACATCACAAACCGGTAGATGGCTGTAGTGTTCTTTGACGAACATGAATGTCCCCAGTAAAGCACATTTAAATGAAAATTACTCTTAATTAAAAACACCTATCATTTATTGAACAGTATGTAATAATTTTATGTTTAAAGTACTTTCATAAGTTTGAATTCTGAATATGACCGGACTTCTCCTTTAAATGCAGAGGTGAATTTCTCCTGTGTAAGATTGATAAAGTTCAATTATCAAGTATTATTTAAATCCTAGTTAAGATATTATAAAACAGGATAACATATTTTATATATATCAATTCTTTTTAAAATAAGAACACAAGCTCCATGCTAGTTATTAAACATGATTAAATTGTATTTATCTGTCACAGATTGAAGGCAGACTGGAGACTGTGGATTTGGTGTGTTATTCAGTAGCTTTTACAGACAGTCAAACATCTAATAAGGCGAGTCAACAGAGCGGAGCAGGACAATGTGTTGGCCTCTTTGACTTCTGCAAGAATCCCTTTTGGTGTAAATTACACTTGTGTCTTCTGCCTGCTCACACAAACATAAACACAGGACAAATAGACGGCTGACTCTGACACACTTCTACACAAGTTTCACATTTTGTGGCCTGACAGCAAGCCTCTGCTTGAGATTCTGTGCCTGTTTGAAGTCTGACTGGAATGACCCCTTGTGACGTCTCCTCCTTTTGTTATGTGAGCGTGCCAGCATGACTATAAATAGGCATTAGGAAGCATGTGGTGTTGGCTGCGCTGTTCTTTGCTTTTCTTTGGAAAATGAAATGCTGGTTTATTTTATTGCCAAGATGCTTAAAAAAAGCAATGATTCAAGTCTGCCAGCAGTTTGAAAAACCTGAGTTCAATAGTGAGTTCCTACTGTAGGGTTACCATTATTTGTCAGGGTACATAATGTTAGCATTTGAGATAACTTTTGACTGATTTACAACTGTAAGGCAGAAAAGTGGGAAATAGTTTGCCTGCCAACTGTGAGGACAACAGGTATAGAGATTAATAAACCATGTCTATTTTAGATTTAATTCCTTTCTGCTTACGAAGTACTTCATAAAAAAATGAAATATGGATTATATTATATTTGTAACTGCTATATGAGGGTCTTTTTCACATTTTTGTCAACAGACATCCCTGACTTTACTCAGGGATGCTATACTTAAAGGTATAGTGCAGGGTGGTCTTTTTTTCCAGGTGGATCATCAAAATAAGTGGTCCTCTTATTTGTCAATCATTCTGGTGATATGTTTACGTCCTATGTGCTCATCCCCATTTTCTCTTATCGTTGCTGAGTCTAACATAGTGGAAAAATGACAAATCTTTTGGAAAGTAAGCTTCTATGAGCGATGCAAACAGCAATTTTTTAAACAGAGCGTGCACAAAATGAAATAGGCTTGTGCAGGCTCTCATACGCGTTTAATAGACGTTCCCTCTTGGGAGCGGGTATAGTGTTATGCATGTGGTTTTTTTAAAAAGTGGAGAGGGTTGGCCTTTTCAAAAACTGGCAAAAATCCTCTTCTATACCTTTAAAGGAGCATTATAAATATGCCTGCCACACTATTTTCTTTCTTCTTCACAATTATTTGCTGCTTTGTGTTTATTTTTCCAAATAAAATACACTCAAATTTGTAAATGTATTGTATCAATTTAAGAAAAATGGGCTTGGAACCAATAAATGCTGCATGGTAAAAACTCTAGTCTTATAATTTACCAGTTTTCTTTTTCAAAATATAAAAAAGGTCAAAACTAAATTTTAAACCAGATTTCCTCATTAAAAAAATAATTATACTTGCAGATTGGTAAAATTTCCAGAAACATATTGGACTTCAATTCATATGCAGGGTCAGATAAGACTTATTGAAAAAGAATAATAAATAGGAACTTTATTATATCTTCAAGACAGGAAAAACAATAGGCCATTTTCCCTTTTAGCACCTTGGTTTATTCACTCAGTGAGGTTATAATGTTACTGATAAACCTTGGTGGTAGTTTATGGGATGACAGACATCTTTGGAGTGAAAGGCAAATTGTCCACTGACCTCTGACCTTTTAGGAGCCACATTTTATATAAAGGCCATCTTTTCATAAAGTAATTAGTGTTTGTAAATTTTATGCTTCAGAATCTATTTTTCTTAGTGAGTTTTTTGGACTTCTTTGTATGTTTGATTTTTTTCCTGTCCTCTTTACTTTAGCGTATGTACTGCAAGTCAAAGTGGAGATGGAACTGGAAATCCAGCAGTGTGAGAAGACGAAGGCTGTGAGGGAAGAGCAGCTGGAGCGTCTCACTCAGATCTGTCAGGAACAGGCTGTGAGTCGAAGTCTAAAAAAAAATTGCCATTTTCCCACACTTGAGCAAACAAATTGTTAATTAAGTACATATATACCCAGAAACTGTCTTTTAGGTTGATTCTGTAATATTTTATGAAAAAAGGTTGTTTAAAAAAAGAGGATTTTAAAAGGATATCTGTTAACGAACAAGACTGCAACGACACACAAAAACAACACTTTCATAAATACTTTGCAAAATAATGATCATGCATTTCTAAGGTTTGCATTAAGGAGGCTACAATGTGTAAAATCTGTCCCCATAATTAATAACAATTGTATCTAACATGTGATACAAACGGATTCAAATAGCATTTCAGATGGTAAAGTTAATTTGCTTCTGATACATCATTAGCATAAATAACGTGTTCTATTTCCATCCCCCCAATGAAAGTCTTAGAATTACTTTCTGTCAGTGGTCGCCGTATTGTTTAGTCTATTACAGAACAAAAAGTTTTTTTTCAATGCATTCCTCCACAAAAACTAGTCTTTAGAAACATCTTTTAAAATATTTTGGCACCCATATATTTTCCATCAGATTTTACATGTGTATACATATATATATATATATATATATATATATATATATATATATATATATATATATATATATATAT